TCTGTCCTGCTGCCGTTCCTCCCCTGCTCTTCTCATTGGTCACGCTCCTCAGTCTTTTATTCTCCACAGATCGGCATTTTCTGTTCTGCCACAACCATAGCCAAAACAGGGCTGAGTTTCTGCTTCAGATTATACTCGTGTTTAGTGCAAATAAACACAAAACCAGCCCTACTGGACTTTTATTTTGCTGCCAGGATGGCTTCATGAAGAAGCAAGGACGCTCTCCTTCAGTAGCACTTATGAAGAGTTCATGTTATGTAAGCTACTCTAGACACTGTTCCAAGAGTTCTCCCTCTCTCTCTCTCTCTCTCTCTCTCTCTCTCTCTCCCTCCCTTGAACCCCATTCTACTTCTTATGCAACATATATACACTTACAGTTCTTAAACTCTGTGGGGTAAATATTATTGTTCTTTTTGTTCTATAAAAAAATGAGATTAAGAGGGACTGATACTAGCTGGGGATTTAGCTCAGTGGTGCCACCGCCTGTCTTGCAAGCAGAAGGTCCTGAGTTCGATCCCTGGTACAAAAAAGGGGGAGGGATAGGGTGGAGCTGAGTGTCCTGCTCAAGGTTTCAAAGAGCCAGGAGACAGCCAGCTGGTCTAGGTGCAGAGCTGGGGTCCTGTGGGCTTAGCTACTGTGTCACTCTGCCCTCTGTGTTTGGTATGATGACTCTAAAGGCTCATTATCACGTTTTTATTGAGTTTATTGATACTTTTTAGGTATACAGTACTTTTATTCATCATTGGGATCTTGTGCCTTTACATGGTGTATTTTGTTTCTTATTTTTTCCCATTCCCCTGCCCTCCCTTCACTCCCTCCACCCTTCCCTATTTTTTAAAATTGAGTTTATTGGTACATTTTAGGTACACAGTACATTTATATTCATCATTGAGATCTTGTACCTTTACATGACAGGTCTTGGTTCTCATTTTTTCCCCTTGTCCCTGCCTCCCCACCCTTCCCTATTTACAAAGACTTTGTCTCCATTTTTTCCTTTTCTCATGTTTGGTCTTTTCCCTTCTTTCCTTTCCCCTCCCCTCCCCACTTCCCCCACTCCTTTACCCTTTTCTTCCTATTTCACATTATCAATTATACAATTTGAATCTTGCTTACAGTTTTAGTTTTTCACACGAGAGAAACTATTTGGTATTTACACATGTGTCCTATTTATTTCACTTAAGAGTATGACCTCAATATGCATCCACTTAGCTATCAATGTCTCTAGTTTCTCATTCTTTATGGCTGAGTAGTTCTCCATTTTATAGAAAAACCACATCTTCTTTATCCAGTCTCCCATTGATGGGCAATTGGGCTGTTTCCAAGTTTTAGCTGTTACACACTGTGCCAATATAAACATGGGTGTATAGATCTCTGTGGCATGATTCTTTTGGAAAGATATCCCACAGAGGGATAGCTGGGTCAAATGGGACATCTAATTCTCATGTTTTGATGTTCATAATTACTTTTTAAAAGAACCTGTAAGACCTGAATTACTTCATTTTCTAAAAAAATTTGTTACTTGAAATTTTCTCCTGAGAAATTTCTTTCCATTCAGCTACATATTTTGTACTTGGTAGCTTCACTTCTTCCCACAGATATTCTTGTTTCCCCAAGCAACATTTTCTGAATTTTACAAATACTATGTTTCCTTAATGAGGATAGCACACAGATGTTTTTCTTCTTTTTAAAAATGAAAAATGTTAAAAATATACCGCCAATTTCTGATCAACCCTATTAGATACACAGTAAAACACTATTTTAATTGTTTTTTTGCTTTTTTTTTTATAGTCCTGTGTTTAGTATGTTCTTGGAGATCGAAGTCAGTTAAGATTGATTTTCCATTGAGTGCTGAAAAATTCTTGTTTTTAGTTTTTCTCCTTCTTAACTCAGTTTATAAGGTGGAAAATTGGTTTTTGGTGTAAGTATATTATAAATTCATAGGCTGGTCATTGTAAATTGAAACCTTAAGAGAAATATAAGAAATATAAGTATATATACTTTACACTGTATGTTTGACGGAACGTGATATCATCTTTCAAAACAGTATGAAAGCTTGTTATAGTGCATTTCTACAGCCACTGCTAGACAATTTAGAAGAGGCATGCTATGATTTGATCCTGATTTAAAACTATTATTTTTATTCTGTATTTTTAGAAATACAGTGAGAAAACTGATGTTTACTTTCATGTCTCAGTTTTATTAAGACTGTATAAACTGAAACAAAGATTATATACTAAGAAATATGTAGGTTTTCATCCTGCCCAGTTGAAATTGTTCTTCCTTAGTTAGATTTTAATATGAAAATTGCCTGGTCACTCCTACGAAAAAATTATATTTCACAGTGATTCTAGAAAATTAGACAGCCTTGCAGCAAGGCTTCCTTTTCAACAAGGAGTTGAAAACATGTTTTGTCTACCACAGAGAAGTTATTTTCCAAATGGGTTAAAACTTTCAGTTTCTGAGAGAGGTTTTAAACGTTTAAGTGGTAATTACCTTTCAAATAATGAAGAAGATTAACAATTTTAAAAGAAATTATGCATCTGGGAACCTTCTGGATTCCCCACCAGAAGTGAGTAGTCCAGCCCCAAACCTGCAATTTTCCGGTCCAAATTGTGATCGCAGCCCTGGTGGTTACTATGAGTCTCCGCACTGCCCTCTGCTGACAAGTGATTCCTTTCCCTTCAGCTACAGGCTCCAAGCAGAGAAGTTCCCAGGCATGAGCTGGATTTAAATCTAGGAAGAGGCAGGTTTCATCCGTAGATGTAAAAATAGAGAAAGAAAAAGAATGATCCGCTGGGAAAAGGAGCCACTTCCTTTGCAGCGGCAACCACGCCTCCGAAAACACCCCAGTGAATAAGACCCCTCTTGGAGTTAAGAGGTCTTGGGCTGAGTCACGGGGTCACCCTGGACACCCGAGGGAGCGCTGGGATTCACCAGCAAATGCAAGGCGACAGACCGACGCGGAAAGTCGACACGCAGTGGCTCCCGCTTCTGCAAACCCGTCCCAATGCCTTGGCAAGGCTTCTGTTCCCGCAGCGTTAATCTGCACTCCTCGCTGCGCTCACACGCAAACCTAAGGTCGCAGGAGCACCTGTGCTCACCTGCGCTAACAATTGCTAGTCCCTCGGCCTCTTTTTGCTGCGGGTCTCTGAGCAGTTTCTACGGTTACGACGCTGCAGCTCGCCCCTCCCGGCTGCGGGAGGCGGGGTGGCGCCTGGGTCGGGAACCTGGGAGGCGGGCGGTG